ACCCTTCCAGCAGCATGGACAGCTGGGCACCCATCTTTCCAACAGCAAGGATGGTGTCTGAGCCCCGATATGGAACCCCGCAGTGGGGAGGTCGGCCAGCCTCCAGGAAGCAGGCAGAGCACCCCACGTGCCTTCTGTGAAGAGCCAGTCCTAGCAGGGATGAGTCCTCTCAGGGTCCTCCTGCCAGCATGCCACCCTCGGCCTCCTTCACTGCCTTGGGATTCCACAAATGACACTTGCAATCCAGGGCCTCGTTTCAGAGGAAACCCAGCGTGGCGATAAGCTTGTGTCCATCAATTCCACTGGTCTCACTCCATGCCCTTCACCCAGAAGCAGGCAGTTGGACAGACTGATGGAATGGCTCCAGTGGGGAGACTGTACCCCTGAACGCTGCGACGCAGGCCTGTAGGAGGCAGAACAGGCTCCTAACCTGGGACTGACCAAGGAGGCCGTTTCCCTACCGCCAGCATGCAGAAGTGGAGGTAGCCGTGCCTGTGAGAGGCCTTCTGTGGATGGACGGACGCCAGTCACAGCCTTGCCTCACCTCCACGGTCCTTCCACAGAGTGGCCGTGATGGCTAATCAGCTACTGAAGGGTTTTTTATCTCCCATTCTGGTACGGTGGGGTCACAGGAGTGGCAGTCCTCCCTCCCGGTCCTCAGGGGAATGTGGGTCTGCTTCCCCCACTCAGGAGCAGAGATGCCCCCCTGCCATGTGGTGCCTCTTGCTGCAGAGCTGACCACTGGACAAGGGAGCTATGCTGGCCAGGGATCTCTGAGGAGGAATCTCTTAGGAGAGATCTCTGCAGGAAGGTGGGAGTGCTGCCTTAGGAAGTGGGGAGGAAGCACTGTGTCAAAACCCAGGGATTCTGGGTCACCACTTAATATTCTCACGTCCCCTAATAAAGCTCACAGTGGAAAATTAGGGCAGCTCCGACAGACAGAGCCATGAGGCCCAGAGCTGGCCTGGGTGAGGTCTCGGGTCCAGGTGTCTGGTAGAGATCCCAGCCTGGGCGTAGCAGAACGGGGAGGGCATGGGACGTGTGGGGAGACTGAAGCTGTTGTGGGTTGATGTCCCCCCCCAAATTCATATGTTGGAGGCCTAACCCCCAGGACCTCAGAATGGGGCCTTGTTTGGAAATAGGGTCGTTGCAGATATGATTCATTATTTGGATGAGTCATCCTGGGAGTGCAGGCCCCTATTCCCGTGTGACTGTGTCCTTATAAAGACAGCTCCCTGGGAGAACGCCATGTGAAGATTTGGGCAGAGATTGGGGCGCTGCCTCCAGCAGCCAAGGAATAGAAAAGATGGCCAGCAAACCCCTAGAGAGGGGGGAGAGGCCAGTTTCCCTGCCACTGTCCCAAAAAGAACCAGCCCCATTGATAGCTGGAGCCGCCAGAACTGTGGGACCACACGCTGCTGCTGTTCATGCCCGCTGGTGGCACCTCCTTACATCAGCCCTAGCAGACGCAGGAGCTGTGCTCACCCATGCGGGCCCCTGACTGCTCCTGCGGTGTGGAGAGCAGTGGCCAGCACTGCGCTGACCCAGGAGCTCAGCCTCTGTCCTGAGGCCCATGCGGTAGAGGGCCTGGTGCTGGCCTCCTCCAGCTCAGGGGACACGCCCCCTCAGTACCTAGCCCCTTCCCTCTAGGTTGCTGGAAACCCCAGAATTCCTGCCCACACAGGCCTCTCCCTGGTGTCTCCTTCCCCGGTGGACAACATCACTGCACCACGCCAGGCTCAAGTGGTGGCTGTTTGTGGTGGGCACTGGGCAGAGCTTGGACGTCAGGCTGGGGTCCCGACACGTCTCCGGGAGAGCCTCCGTGGTGCAGGGATGAGGAGTGGGCCAGCCGCAGCGGGAGCGTCTATTCCTGCACTCAGCGTATCGCAGGTTAGTTTCCCATCTCCTTTCCTGAGCCCTCTAAGGACGGATTAGCAGTGGCTCAAACACAGCTCCGATTTCCGTGGGAAGTGCCACCCTGGTTTCTCCCGTTTGAGGTGAGAAATTCTTTCTCTCAGTGAAGGACAGTCACGGTGGACAGGAGTGCAAAGATGGGCCGTACCGTGATCCTCCATTGGCCTCCCAGTGCTGTGCTCTGCCTGGGACATTACCCCCTTCCCACCAGTTCCTGCAGGAGGGGGCTGGTGGAGCTGCTGGCAGGAGACTGAAAGACGGGAGGCCACTGGGGCCTTGCTCACCACCCCTCCCTGCTCAGGTGTTGCCTCTGGAGCCACACCTGCCCTGCAGCGCCCACGGGGTCCTCGCTCTGCTGGAATCCAGGCAGAGGCACACGAAGGTTTGCAGAATTCAACAGGCACATTTTGTAAGCTCCTCCTTAAGGTACAAGGACACACAGAGACACACACACACACAAGGACACACACACAGACACACACAAGGACACACACACACGGACACACACACACAAGGACACACACAAGGACACACACAAAGGACACACACACAAGGACACACACACACAAGGACACACACAAGGACACACACACAGACACACACACAAAGACACAAACAGACACACACACACAAGGACACACACACGGACACACACACAAGGACACATACACACAAGGACACACACACAAACACAAGGACACACACAAGGATACACACAAGGACACACACAAGGACACACACACAAACACAAGGACACACACACAAGGACACACACAAGGACACACACGCACAAGGACACACATACACAAGGACTCAAAGGACACACACACACACATACAAGGATGGACACATAAGGACACACACACACAGACACACACACAAGGACACACACACACAGAGTATGTATTTTAATGTAGAAATGTTTTATTTCTTTGTTTGCTTTTGGCTAAATTGTGTCCCTGCCCCCACCAATTCATATGTTGAAGTCCTAACCCCTGTCCCCCAGAATGTGACTGTATTTTGAGATGGGGTCTTTTCCTTTTTGAATCAAGTTTCAATAAGGTCACTAGAGTATGAGGTCCCTGATCCCATCTGATGGGTGCCCTCAGAGAGGAGATTAGGACAGACACAGGGAAGACCACTTGAAGACACAGGGAGATGTCATCTACAAGCCAAGGAGAGGGGCCTCTGGAGAACCCAACCCTGCTGACACCCCATTTCAGACTTCTGGTGGCCAGAACTGTGAGAAATAAATTTCCATCGTTGGCCAGCCTTGGTGGCTCACGCCTGTAATTCCAGCACTTCGGGAGGCTGAGGCAGGTGGATCACATGAGGTCAGGAGTTCGAGACCAGCCTGGCCAACATGGTGAAACCCTGTCTCTACCAAAAAACACAAAAACTAGCCGAGCACGGTGGCGGGCGCCTGTAGTCTCAGCTACTGGAGAAGGTAAGGTGGGAGAACCACCTGAACCCAGGAGGTGAAGGTTGCAGTGAGCTGAGGTCGCACGACTGCATTCCAGCCTGGGCAACAGAGTAAGACCCTGTCTCAAAATAAAATAATTTCCATTGTTCAAGCTGCCCAGGCTATAGTATTTTGTTTGGGCAGCCCTGGCAGGCTGCAGATAGATGATATGGAGAGAGATGTAGAGAGATACTTATTTATTTAAGATATGTAAATTCTCTAAGTCACATGACTCTGCAAGTACATTTCTGGGGTCCCTCCCAGGGCCCTGAGAAAGGCCCATGAAGGTGAGGGGCCCTGACTCTCAAACCTCACCAGCCTCATGGTGAATCTGCTGAGGGCAAGAACCCTGGTTTCTCCCATCCTGCTAGGGCATGGGGTAGGGGCAGCTCCCTCACATGGCTGGTCTCTGGGCACCTTGGCCCCTGGTCTGTTCCCTGATCCTTGTCTGTACCTCGCAGGAGGGAGCTCCAGATCCTGCAGGCCCCACTCAGGGCATTCTCGCCCAAGGCCTGCCACCCTGCCTACCTCACCAGTTTGGTGCCTGCTGCTCCCAGGCTCCCACATTTGGAAATACCCAGGGTGGTGGGCATCGTCTCCATGTTCAAGTGGACAGCCTACCTTCAGGGACAATGAGCCCAGCCCGCTGAAAATCGCTCTGCTCCCAGGGGCACAGCAGGGCTGTCTGCCGGGAATGTAGTCTGGGGGCTCCCAGCTGGAGCGTGACATGCCGGAGGCCTCACCTGCAAGCATTTCGAATGCACACCCTCACTGCTCCAGGGGTGACAGGGGTGGGAATCACTGCATTGTGCCTGTCAGGCTGTGGGCTCTGAATTCCCTCCCCTCCTGCAGCAGGACAGGAGAGGGTGTGACGTGAGGCTGCCGGAGCTGTGTAGCTTCATTTTTTTTTTTTTTTTTAAGACAAGAGTCTCACTCAGTCACCCGGCTGGAGTGCAGTGATGCAATCTTGGCTCACTACAACCTCTGCCTCCTGGGTTCGAGTGATTTTCCTGCCTCAGCCTCCTGAGTAGCTGGAATTATAGGCGTGTGCCTCCACACCCAACTGATCTTTGTATTTTTGGTTGAGACGGGGTTTTACCACGTTGGCAAGGCTGGTCTCAAACACCCTGCTGGGCCTCCCCAAGTGCTGGGATTACAGGCGTGAGCCACTGTGCCTGGCTAAGCTGGGTAGCTTCTGTCACTTTCTTGAAAGCCCAGGGGTAGCAGCCTGGGCCTGTGGTCTGATCTCTCTTTAGAATATGGGACCGCATCACTAAGCAAAACCCAAATGTGGAATTGGGTTGCTCGTCTGTCCTGCTCCCTCCCACCTGCCCAAACACTGTGATGGGGGCTGAGCTGGGGTTCCACCACACAGGACCACAAATTGAGTGCTGCAAATGGCAAAAATATATTTGCAGAGCTCTAGAGGCCGGACAGCAAGGTGTCGCAGGGCTGTGCTCCCTCAGAAGGCTGGGGGACCCTCCCTCACTGCTCTCCTAGCATCTGGTGTGGCCACAGGCCTACCTTCCTTGGCTTGAAGCTGCAGCACTTCGAGCTCTGTCTCAGTTGTCACATGGTCGATGGTTAACTTTATGTCAACTTGACTGGGCAAGGGGAACCCCACAGAGCTGGTAAACGTGCTTTCTAGGTGTGTCTGTGAGGGCGTTTCTAGAAGCAGCTGGCACTTGAATTAGTATAGTAGACTGATTAGAGAAGACTCACCCTCATCAGTGTGGGTGAGCACCGTCCGAGCTGAGGACCTGAAAAGGACAAAAGTGTGGAAGAATGTGCTTCTGTTTGAGCCGGGATGGCCATCTTCTCCTCCCCTCGGACATTGGACTCAGACTAATGATACCATGGCTGTCTTGTTTCTTCATGCAGGCAACACACCAACAGATCGTGGGACTGCCCAGCCTCCACAATCACGTGAGTCAACTCCTATAGTAACTCTTCTCTCATAAACGTATTGGTTCTGTGTATCCGGAGAACTCTAATGCACGTGGCCTTCCTATGTATCTGTGTCCAAATTTCCCTCTTCTTGTAAGAACAGTGGCCATATTGGACTAGGGCCCACCCATACAACCTCATCTTAACTTGATTATATCTGTAATCAATTACCTTCCTAAATAAGGCCATACTCACAGGTCCTGGGGGTTAGGACTTCACCAGAGCTTTTGTGGGGAAATAATTCGATTCATAACAAGCACAAATAATTGAATCCACTCTGGCTGGTTTAAGTAGAAATGAGATTTCTGAAGAGTTGTTGGATGGCTCACGGATCAGGCGAACAATGGCAAGATCCCTGCCGGAACTGGTCTGAGTAGGGGTTGGCTGCCCCAGCCAGCCCGAGCTGCTGTGGTTCTGCTGTAGCAGGAGGCTGACACTCCCAGTGTGAACTCCGGAAATATGCTGTCTAGTTTGCCAGGACAAAATTTAGCACAATGGTTGCCCCACCAGTCAGCCCCTCGCTGCCCCGGCATGGCAGCCTCCGCCTCATCTCACCTAGTAGCGAAGAGGGGCAGACCAAGGAAATCCTGAGTTCTAAGTGGGAATGACAGAATTCCCCGGGCTGGGCACGGTGGCTCAAGCCTGTAATCCCAGCACTTTGGGAGGCCGAGGTGGGTGGATCACGAGGTCAAGAGATCGAGACCATCCTGATCAACATGGTGAAACCCTTTCTCTACTAAAGATACAAAAAATTAGCTGGACATGGTGGTGCGTGCCTGTAATCCCAGCTACTCAGGAGGCTGAGGCAGGAGAATTGCCTGCACCCAGGAGGCGGAGGTTGTGGTGAGCCGAGATCGCGCCATTGCACTCCAGCCTGGGTAACAAGAGTGAAACTCCATCTCAAAAAAAAAAAAAGAATTCCCCTTGAGAGAACTATCGAAATGCAGAGAAGATATTCAAAAGATGGTGGGTGGCCCCAGTGGCAGATATCCATCGCCACAATGAACTCCAAGCTTGTCTCCCTGACTCCTGTTCACTACAGACACTGGGAATGCTTAGTGCCAACTTCTCCAAGCTTCACAGCAGCACTGGGCACATGACTGGCTTCTGGCCAGTGAGGTGTAGGTAGAACCCGACTCGGGAGCCTCTGAGAATTTTGTTTTCATGATAAAACAGACAACCATCTCTGTAACTATCATTTCCCCGTTCTTACAGCCAGAACGTGGGGTGATGTCTGGAGCTGTGGCAATCCTCTTGCGACCATGAAGGAAAGTCACAGAACTGCTGGCCTGATGCCACTGGGCTGCTGAGGTAATGCCAGCCACACCTACCTCCAGGATTCCTGTTACGGGAGAAAAATAAATCCCTATTGGTTCAAATCACCACACTTGTTGGAGTCGCTGTGAAGCCAAAAGTGCTTCTAACTGATACATTATCCATCTACGTATCTATCCTATAGTTAACGAAGTTTTTATTTTTTAGAGATGGGGGCTATGTTGCCCACTGTGTCTGGTCTCCAACTCCTGTGTTTAAGTGATCCTCCTGCCTCAGCCTCCCAAAGGGCTGGGATTATACATGTGAGCCACACCTGGCCTAGGTTTTAAGCAAATATGATTAAACTTGCTTTTTAGAAAGACTTGGAGGAGGCTGGGCATGGCAGCTCATGCCTGTGATCCCAGCACTTTGGGAGGCTGAGTTGGGCGGATCACTGGAGGCCAGGAGTTTGAGACCAGTTTGGCCAACATGGTGAAGTCTCATCTCTACCAAAAATACAAAAATTGGCCAGGTGTAGCTGGAGGCTGAGACATGCGAATCACCGGAACCCAAGAGGTGGAGGTTGCAGTGAGCTGAGATCACGGCACTGCACTCCAGTCTGGGCAACAGAGTGAAACTCCATCTCAAAAGGGAAAAAGCCTGTGATCCCAGCACTTTGGGAGGCTGAGGTGGGTGGATCACTTGAGGTCAGGAGTTCGATACCAGCCTGGCCAAAATGGTGAAACCCAGTCTCTACTAAAAATATAAAAATCAGCCGGGCGTGGTGGCGGGCACCTGTAATCTCAGCTACTAGGGAGGCTGAGGCGGGAGGATTGCTTAAACCCAGGAGGCAGAGTTTTTGGTGAGCCAGGATTGCACTCCGGAGCACCTGGTGACCTGGTGACAGAGCAAGACTGTCTCAAAAAAAAGAAAAAGAAAAAGAAATATATGTATATGAAGGACTGGAGGAAAGAATAAACAGAGAGAGCGCGGGTGAAGGAGCTTATTCCTGAGGTGCCAGCGTGCAGGACGTTGCTGCCCGTTACCAGGATCAGGGCAGGGGAAGTGCTGGCGGGTTCCCAGATTTGCACCGCACCAAACTCTCGGCGCCCTAAGTAGTGACACTCTTCCCCTGGAACTGGCGTGTCCTAACCTTTTGAGACGGGGTCAGGGTTCTTCCCCACCCCATTGCTGCCTCTAAACCACCTTCCGCCACCCTGGAGAGAAGTCCACGTTCCACCTGGGCATCATGCCGCTGCTCGCCTCACCCTACTGCCCAGCCCAGGCCTGGGCCGAGGGCCAGGGTCGGTCCACCCAGCAGACAAAACCAAGGTCTTTCTAAAGCTGGGCCCGGTCAGGCAGGTGGACGGCTCCTCCCCAGAGGCTGGCACGGTGGGCAGCGCAAGCTCCCCTGGGCAATGCCGGGGGTCGGGCAGGAGCACGCCCGGGCCCTGGGACCAAGACGTGAGCAAGGCGCAGGGCAGCGGGGGGGACTCAAACGGGGCGCGAGGCCTCAAGAAGCTCGCAGGCCTCCGGGAGGGACGCGGCCCGCGGCTCCCTGCAGGTCCCGTCTGCCCGGCCCTGCGGCCACGCGGGGTGGACTCGGCGTCCGGGACAGTAGCTCCTCTGGCCGGCGCCGTGTTCACGCCTCAGCGTCAGTGACGGCGCCAGACACCGGCAGGGACACAGGGAGACTCGCGTGGAGCTCGGGATCCGCGCCGAGTGCGCGTATCGCTCCAAGTAAAGCGCAGCCTCGCGACACAAAGGCTAGGAAATAGCTGGCGGCGCCCATCGTCGCGGCCCGCTTTTTGGGAGGGGAAGGCGACGACACGGAAGTCGGCACGCGAGCACTCCCTTAGGACTCCGGCGCGAGCCTGGCTCCGGCGGAACCCGGCTCCCACGCCGCTCACGCTTCCGGGGGGGCACTTCCGGGAGCGCCACCACTCGCGGCCCCACGTGACCGGCGAGCGCAGAGACGGGGTGCGCAGGCGCGGCCTTCGGGTCCTGCAGGCCGGGTCTGGCTACTCCGCAGCGGGCCGCCTTCGTCGCGTCCGAACGGCTTCGGCATCAGCTCGGAGAAGGCGGGTGGGAGGAGCAGCCCCCTGCCGACCCCTCTAGAGAAAGGAAGTAAACGGGCGCAGGCCACGGTGGGAAGGCGGGGAGGCCCGGGAGCCGGCGCTGGCCCTGAAGAGCGGGGCGAGGAGCCCGCCCGCCGGCACCAGCAGGCGCCGGGACAGGGATGGGGCCTTGGGAGGCGAGGCCGGAGAGGGGCGGCCCAGAGCTGCGGCGTGGGAGCTGCGCGGGCGGGACTCTAGGGGGGCTCCCGGCGGGCGGCGTCGGTCCAGGGGACTCGCGAGACATGGCGGCGACCGACCGCAGAGGGGGAAGACCAGGTTTCCTGCGGCGCTGCCGCTCCGGGAGGAGACAGCTCGAGGAGCGCCGGCGGGTGGACGGGAGGAGCGAGACTCTGTCTCAAAAAACGTGAAATGAGAAGAAATCAAGCCCGTTATGATGCTGCCTTTGGTGCGGCGCGGGAAGAAACACCCCACGCGCGAGGGAACCTGGACGTGAGATTGGCTCCCGAGGCAGCAGGGGTGACAGTGGCGAGGCGCGTTCGGATAAGGACACGGTTGGATCCATGCATGGACCCTATACCGCTGCAGACTGAAAAGACCAAAAATGCAAAAGTAAAAGTCACAGAAAATGCTAGGAAAAAAAAAAAAAAATGGGTGAATTCTGCTGCATTGGAGGGGACGAACTCGGTGGGAACGTGGCAAAGGACATGAGCAGAGATTCACGCAAACGAGATACACACGACCCATGAACGTGGGCGCACAACACTGACTCCCATCAGAATGAGAAGTGCACACCCAACGATGCTGACATTCCATTTCTTACCTATCAGAGTTTGAAAAATCCAAGTTTGGTAGCACGGCAAGGTTCAGGGAAGTGGAGTGGTGCGTACGCTGTGGCCGGAACTTGGCACCCTCCGAGGGAATCGCCCGTGCTTTTGCCCGTGGACACGGCACGCTCACTCCTGGGAATTTATGCCTGAAATTCCTGCTCCCCTGGATGCATGTTCTGGGTTATTGGCTCCAGCGTTGTATATTAATGGCGACAGTTTGGAAGCAGCAGGTGCTCATCGCCAGGCGACAGTTAAATGGATGATGGTGCCGCGGCACCGTGAAATACAGTGCAGCTGTTTGGGAATAAAAGGGTCAAAGACGTTTCTGGCCTCGTGCGGGCCTGACGCCTGTAATCCCAGCACTGTGGGAGGCCTAGGCTGGCAGATCAGGAGTTCCGCGGTTAGAGACAAGCCTGGCCAAAGCAGTGAAACCCGGTCTCTAGTAAAAATAGAAAAATTAGCCGGGTGTGGTGGGGGATGCCTGTAGGTCCAGCTACTTGGGAGGGAGGTCCAGAAGAATCGCGTGAACCCGGGAGGCGGAGGTTGTAGTGAACCGAGACTGCGCCACTGCACTCCAGCCTAAGTGACAGTGAGACGCCGTCTCAAAAATAAAAGGAAAAAAAGTTCCTAATCTTTTTTTTTTTTTTTTTTTGAGACAGTCTCACTCTGTCGCCCAGGCTGGAGTGCAATGGCACCATCTCAGCTCACAGCAACCTTTGCCTTCCAGCTTCAAGCAATTCTTCTGCCTCAGCCTCCCGAGTAGCTGGGATTACAGGCACCTGCCACCCTGCCTGGCTACTTTTTGTATTTTAGTAGAGACAGGGTTTCACCATGTTGGCCTGGCTGGTCTCGAACTCCTAACCTCAGGTGATCTACCTGCCGCAGCCTCCAAAAGTGTTGGAATTACAGGTGTGAGCCACCTCGCCCAGCCTACAATCTATTTTTAAGTGAAAAAAGCCAGGTGCAGAACAGCATACATGGTATGCTGCTTTTTGGGTGGTAATGGGGGAAAATATTTGCTGACAGTTGCAAAAAGAAACATTGGAGAGTACACAAGAAACTAATAATAGTGGTTCCTTGAAGGCAGTGGAGAGGGAGCAGGGACGGAGGTACGGGGCGGGCCCCGGGGAGTTCCTTGAGGGCAGTGGAGAGGGAGCAGGGACGGAGGTACAGGGCGGGCCGCGGGGAGTTCTCAGTGTCTTTTCTTAATGACAAAGGATCAAGATTAAAACAGTACTTAGAAAACAGGAGAGGAAGAAAGTACACTGAAGAGGCCAGCCATGTGAGAACTTACTGGAAAGAGCAGAAAAGTGGAAGGAGATAAGGGAAAAAGGAAGAGGTTTTGAATGTTAGTTGAATCCATTGAATTGATAATTAGTGATTGGTAACACGTTCAAAAGGTTAAAAGTTACCTCCCTTGTTTTCCAGCCACCGAATTGCCCCCCCATAGACAACCACATTTCTTTTGATCTGTCCAGAAACATTTGGTGCCTGTGAAAATGCACACTGTGTTCATGTGTGTCCAGTTTCCCTTCTCTTTACACCATGGGAGGAGAGGATACAGTCATACTCCCTGTTCTAATACTCAGGACCCCATCTAAACCTAACGAGCCCCAAAGGCGGCAAGAGAGTGCCTTTGTTTTTATGACTGACTGTTCCGATGTACTGGCCCGTCCCCTGCCTTCACCAGCACTTCGCTGTGCTGAACAGTACTCTAACAAACACCCTTACATGGAGCTCGTATTGCCCATGTGCACATTTATAGGGTAGCTTCCCACAACTGCCGGGTCAGAACACTTAGGTAATTATAATGAGACAGCAGTCATCAAGTTGCCCTCTCTCTGAATTAGGTGTGTGCCCGTTTATACCTTACCAGTAATGCAGTCGAGTGCTGCTGTCCCCCAGCTCCCCCAGCAATGTGTTTCAAAGTTACAGACTGCCTGTTTGCATACCCCCAAAATTCACAGGAAACTGTACCATCCAGTGCAATGACAGTTGGAGATGGGACCTTGAGGGGGGTTGTTGGGTTCAGATGGGGTCATGAGGGTGGAGCCCTCGTGAAGGGAGTGTTGTTTTTACAGGAAGAGGAGGCTGCAGCTTCCTTGATTTGCAGTGTGAGGGCACACAAGAAGGCTGTCCCCACCAGACACCAAACGCTGGCACCCATATCCTGGACAGGCCATCCTTCTGAACTGGAGACACGTTTCCATTGCTTAAGCCACC